CCCCCCCCCCCCCCCCCGCCCCAAAGACAAAGGCTTTCAGGTGCAAAAAGAGGTTTCCAGCACTCAGCAGACAGAGTTCATGAGTGAGCATCTGCAGAGCCCCGTGTCTTAGCTCTGGCCAAAAGCTGCAGTGGACTGGCTCCATTGGACTTGGCCCTGTAGGTTCCAGCCCCTGCCACACCCTCCCCGTGACCTCTGAGCAGAGATTGCATTCTTTTCAAGTAAAAGCAAGTACTGACCAGTTTGACCACAATATTTATCCATGTAGATTATTAAAATTATTTAAGTTAACAATTCCCCAGGCACCTGGGTCACATTTTGCACCCTGTGTGATTCTTCAGGGCAGGAAGCTGACCATCAACACAGAGATCTCACACCTGTGAGATCTAGCCTCCAACTAGCCTCTTCCAAGGCCTATCAACCGGATTGTCACAAGGAAAGGGATGTTCCAACAGTGGACAGTGGTCCCAGGGACCAGACACACTCGCTTTCCCCAGACTCCCAATTAATCCCAGCACCATGCATGACTACCATACCTTGGAGGGAGAGACCATGTCACCCCCAGAGAACCAGGGGAGAGCCTGAGTTGGTACTCCCATCTTCTGAGTTTTTACCACACCGACAAATGCACAGCCCCCTGGGTTACCCAAGTAAAACCACTGACAGCCTCTACCTTTTCCAGACCAAAACTCGTTGGCCTGGCCTCCTCTGCTGTCAGTCACAATCAGCTCTGTAAAATCCATGTCAACCCTGGCAAAGTCTCGCTGGATGCCACACCAGTACCAGCCCGTGTCTTCCTTGGTCAGGCAGGACACAGTGATGATGAATTGGCTTCCTGTGTCCTTCAGGGCCACACGGTCCGTGCTGTTGTGGGTCAAAGCAATGATGTGGCAGTAATCCCGGAAATAGCCTCGGCACCAATATTTGGTATGATGCTTATAGTGGGCGTCGTAATTGCAGCTGGCAGAAGCTGTGCCTAGCATGAAGCTTTCCTTCACTTTTTTGTCCATGACCATGGCATCTGTGAAGACACACACACACACACACACACACACACACACACACACACACTGTTATTCTTCCAAGCATGCTGCAGTTTCTCCCCGCCTGTCCACCTGAAAGATAATTAAAGAATTGGAGGCTGGTTTTTATTGCCTGTTTTCGGTAGACAGCTGAGCTGTGTCCTGCTAAAATTGGTTATAGAATATCTTTGGACAGAGGTCTTTAAAAGAGGTAATCAAGTTAAAGTAGGATCACAGGAGATTGTCCTTAATCTAATATGGTTAGCATCCTTAATAAGTGAATAAGAGATTAAGATATGGAAAGAGGGATGACCATCTGGGGTCACAGCAAGAGGATAGCCTACAATGAGCCAAGGAGAAAGGCATCAGAATGAAACCACATCTGCAGGCACCTTGGTCTTGGACTTCTTTCTACCCTCCATAACTGTGAGGAAGTACATTTCTGTTGTTTAAGCGATAGACTGTGGTATTCTGTTATGGCCGCCCTAGGAAACCAACATGGCAACCCCAGAGAAGTCTCTATTCCTGGTCTAAGGGACAGTGCACTAGAGGCCTCTTGCCATTGCCTGGTGGGGAGCCTGGAAGAGCCGGAGGTTCTCTGTCAGCACACCCTCTGTCCCTGGCTACCCACCCTACCTTGGCAGCCTCAAATAGAAAGTGAAAATTGTGGAGGCTTCTACTGGCTGCATGGGGCTGAAGTCAGAGGGGCTCAGGTTCTGAGCCAGGAGTTTACTATCTCCTCCATGCAAGACTGGCCATGGGCACCTCTATCACGTCAGGATATTGCCTACTGAGGAACTCATGCACAACAGGTCCAGCAAAGAAAAGAGATGGCACGGCAGAGCTCATCCCTCTCAGCCCTCCAGCTGCTGTGTGCTAGGCGTGGGGTGTCACCAACCTGCAAAGCATGCTCACATCCTAGATGTCATTTGTTCTCCTAAAAAACCCACAGGGAGGATCGCATGATCCTCGGGGTTGGGGGTGGGGGGGTCACACTGACACTGACCCAGAGACCAATGCAGCAACTCCAAAGGTGACACCGCTGAGCGGTGACACAGCAGGGCACACCCCATGCTCTGAGTGAGTCCCATCTTCGTTGTCAGGCATAGGCAGAAGGAAAAAGTAGTGTGGACACATCTGCACAGATATTTTTGAGGGGAAAAAAAGGAAGGGAAGGGGAATTTGGGTAAACTAAAAGAGAAAAAAAAACAGAGCCCTCATTTTAACCAAGGGTTCCAAGCTCCCAACAATCCTCTTGTCAGAGGTAGGTTCGAGAATTAATAGAGACAAGACCTCTTTTCACCTTTTATTTCCCCACTCATTTAAGTGGCTCGAGCTGATAAGTAGGGACTCCAAACAGGAAGAGAGAAGAAAATGCAAGGTCTCCAGGAAGGTCACAGCCTGGAGGGCAGAGGTGTTCCTTCCTCTTGTCTTACCTGAAAGAAGAGCCAAGGAGAGCAGGTCCCATGACTGGACCTTCAACTGGAACGACAGGAAGAACCCAGGGACCTCAGGAATTTCTGGATCTGTTCAAGGAAAAACAGGTGTGTTTGGGCTTAAGAGTTTTACCCCTCTTTGGAGAGATCAGTGAAAAGTGGGAACCACAGGTTATTGCAAGCAGTACTGGTGTGTATAGCTAGCCCAACTGTCCACTGAACGATGGCACCTCATCAGAGGGATGACATTTACCAACACAAACTTATTATTTATGGGGCAACTAAGAATATTCTGGGCTTCCCAGCAGAGCCAAAAATAGCCATGGAGACACCCCTCCTGGATAAACCTACTCTGGCACATGGCGCTGTGCCGACACTCAGAAGAACACAGACACACACGTCGCTGCTGGCACACATTAGGTGTGCAACCACACCCTGTCTTGCTAATGCTCTGGGTATTATCAGAGGCCACTGCTTTTGCCCCTTCACCACTCCTGAGACCAAATGCCTATCCAGATGGGGTGGGGGGGGAATCCCAGCAAAATTCCTAACTAACCTAACTCCCAGGGGAATGCTGCCGGCTCACCTGGGGAATGTGGTTAGGAGTGGAGCATGCCAGCTGTCAGGAGCAGTTGTGTCTGAATCTGCAACACGGGAGCAGGCAGAGGTGTCAGCAGCCCGGGCAGCAGTCTTCAGTATTCTTGAGAGCTTTCCTAGATAGAGCCGGGACAAATCAGGGAGGTCTGTCCATGAAGCAGCAGCAACGGCAGCAGCTTCCTCTGATTCCTAATGGGACTCATCCTCTGACCACTCATTTTAAGTTTGACTCCTTGAACCACCTTAATTTCTTGAAGCTGGTTGCTACTTATCACACTCCAGAGCTAGCACTCTCACCAAGGGCCGGATGTGGATGGTTTTCTAGATCATGCAATAATGTCTTCCCTCAAGAAAGGAGAGCCTTCCTCTAACACACAGGAACTCAGCATCTGGGCCAGCAGTAAGTTTGTATCATGGTAGGTGTTTTGCCTACATTAATTCATTTACTCCTTCAAAAACCTCTATGAGTTTAACAAACAAATTGCATGGGGGGTGGGGGTGGAGTGGAAGGAAGAGAAAGAGAACCCATAGATTAAACTGGATTAAAGAGACATAGGGACAAATACTTATTTGCATCCTGTTTTAAAATAATTCATGTCATTAGGTAGTTGATACGGATAAGAAATATTAAGAAATAATTATTAATTTTGTTTCAGATGTGATCATGGTATTATAATAGCCAGACTTCAAGATGGCTCCTGGTGTGCATGCCCATATGTATGGTCACTCTGAAATTGATCATACAGGCTGGTCTGTGTGAGCAACAAAACATGGCAGACATTATGGTGTACACTTTGGATGCTAGATCATAAGAGGTTTGCAACTTCTACCTTAGTCTCTTATGCTGACCCCTCTTGGGGAAGTCAACCACCATGTCCTGAGGACCAAACAGGCTATAGAGAAGCTCAGGCAGAAAAAAGCCAATCTGCCAGGCATGTGAGAGCCACCTTGTAAACAGATCCTTCAGCCACAATCAAGCCTTCAGATGACTGTAGACCCAGTAACCTCATGAGAGACCAGGAGCATGAACCATCCAACCAAAATATCCCTTGAATTCCTGACTCACGGACAGGACAGCACAAGATATAATTGTCATAAATCTCTAAATTTGGGGGATAATCCCTCATGCTACAGTGAATAATTAATAGAGATATTATAGTCCTATTTTTTTTGTGTGTATGTGTGTGTGTGTGTGTGGGTGGTGCTGGGGATTGAACCCACGGCCTTGTGCATGCAAAGCAAGCACTCTACCAACTGAGCTATATCCCCAGCCCCACATAGTCCTATTTTTTAAAAGCAGTTCTTTCCTCTGTCAAGGCTCTATTGCTCAATATTGCTCAGAAACGTTACTATGAAACCAAAGAAAATGCTGGCAGAAAGAGGAACAGATTGTGCGCAGATACATAACAGCAAAATGCCCAAGATGTGAAAATGTCACATGTAAAGCAAATGAAAGGGCTAGAGTTACAGAGAATGACCGATGTGTGTCCTAGCCTGCTGAGTACAGCTTGTTGTTGTGAGTTCCACTGCTCTACCTGCAGGGTAGAATTAATTTTTATTCTATTTAGATGTGTCAATAAGAAGGCAAATGGGAACTAAGAATACGCTGAGTGAGAACTTTAAAACATCTTTAATAAGTACAAAAACCAAAATGTTTACAGATGAAATCATTTCATGTCAGGACAACAGAGTAAGGCAAGTGGGTGTGGCCACAAATGAGACAAGGTTGACCATAAATTGATCATTTTTAAAGCAGGATAACGGATATTTGAGACTCATTACTGTAGCTACTCAAGTTTGTATATTAAAAAGTAAAAAACGAAAACACTTTGACTTGAGTGTCAAATGAGGAAAATGGAGGTTCATAAATTTAAGGAGCTGGCCCAAGTTCACACACCCAGTAAAGCCACTGGGATCTGATGCTACATTTGGAGAGGGTAAGGGGAACAAGAAAAAATAAAAATTCCTCTTTCCATTATAGTATACTTGCTTCCCCAACTGCAGCAATACATAAAGTTGTAGAGCACTTTAGAGTTTACTAAAAGACTTTACATACTGTGTCATCTGAGTGACTGGGGCAAGATGTGGCCCAAACTTTCTTATTCCTTCCACTCAGCTCTAGTATCTAAAGGCAGAGTTTCTGTAGAAAATGTGCACTTAGTTGTAAGAAACTGAATACACACAATGGCGAGACCATATAAAAACAGAAATCTGACTCATAACCTCCAGCAACCCGCTCAAAAGCCAACACCTTATCTATAATATACAATAAACCAGCCTGTGCTAAGTTAGGTTTAAAGGAAATCAGATTATTATCTCTAGTGACAATTTAGGAAGCCAAAAATAAACCCTATAACAATCCCCACAAATTGCTAGGAGTTAATTAATAAGTGATGTCATCCCATTTTTTTTTTTTTTTGTACTAGGGATTGAATCTAGGGGCACTTAACCACCGAGCCACATCCCCAGCCCTTTTTGTATTTTATTTAGAGACAGGGTCTCACCAGCTTGCTGAGGGCCTCACTAAGTTGCCAAGGCTGGCTTTGAACTCACAATCCTCCTGCCTCTGCCTCCCGAGCTGCTGAGACTACAGGCATACCCCACTGCACCCAGCCATTCCCCAATTTTTGTCCCAACTTCCAACTTAGGACCAACCAGATATGCACCCTCAACCAATCATACAAAATGCCCCCACTTCAGTTAGCCTACAAGTTCCCCATCCTAACACCTTCCAATCAGGACACAGTTGAAGTCTTTCCTTTTTCCCTCTGTTAAAAAAAGTTACCTGGACTTCAGTGGCTTCAGCACCTTGAGTTTCTCCATAGTCAAGTTGAAACCAACTCAGTGTAAAACCATAAAACAGCACTTATTTTAATCAGAAACCACCCAACTGGCCTCTAATGTGGGACTTCGATAAATACATCAAATCAAAATTCACTTGATCAGTTATACAAATAATGTACAAATATATTTGTCTTGCTTCCGCAAATGCCTTCTAAAAGTCCCCCCACCCCAACCCCTCTCAGGGTCGTCCTCAACTACTTGCTGTCTAGTGCAGCCCAGTTGAATGCTCAGATAAGCTCATTAAAATTTTAGTGTTTATCTTTATCCTTTAGCCTTCCCACTCCTCTGCCTGCCTGTGAGCATTTTCCAAAGGCTAGCGATAGTGGTCATCTTCTTTGCTACAGCAAGCTCAGAATAAATAGACTTTGCTTCTTCTCACTAAGCGGGTCTTTGTTTATTTTCACACTCAACTCAATAAAATAATAATTTTAAAAGGTAAGCAAACCCAGTTACTCAACGTTCACCTTCGTTCTAGATTCTTCCTATGGAGAAGATGGAAGCAAATCTCCGTTTTATCTGGGTGGTCCTTTAACCTACTCTCTTAGAATAGAAGCCCACAGCTACCCTTTACTATCTGGCTGCACAAGGACCCACAGGAGACTCCCGTGACACTAATCTCTAAACCTGAAACCAGGGTGGCTCTCCCTATGTCTAACCAACCTCCTCACCAATGATTTTTGGTTCGTCTTTTTGAGTTTACTCTAAAAAGGATATTTTCTCTCTAAGGACTTCCTCTGGGCTAGTGCAACACCTTATTTCAAGAGATTCCTATTTGGCAAAAAAATGCAAGCTGTTGTGGCAATCAGGGGTTCGGGGAAGAAAAGGGGAAGGGAGAGAAAAAAATAAAAGTAGTTTTGAGGGCTGGGGCTGGGGCTGGGGCTCAGTGGTAGAGCGCTTGCCTCGCATCTGTGGGGCCCTGGGTTCGATTCTCAGCACCACATAAAAAATAAAGGTATTAAAAACAACAACAAAAAAAGCAGTCCTGAAACCCAGGAACTAAGGCTCGTCGAATGATATCAAAGGACCAGGACAGTTAGGTGCTCTGACTTGAGGGAAGTATTGACTTTAAATCAAGTTTCCAAAAAATAAAGGGCGGGCAGGGGCTACATGTTGCTATAGCAACTGGGTTAGAGAGTAAATTAAGAGTCATAGTGTGAAGATTACCAGGAAACAGAGCTCGACAGCACTTCCCCTTCATTCTCCAACAGGGTAGAGTTTATAAACTCAGGACCTCTATCTGGGGATGTTCATTAACTAAAACCAAAAATTAAGAAAGGGGTAAAGTTCAAACTTGATACTTCCTGGCTTGAAAGAAAGAGAAATAAGGACCCTTTGCTAAAATAGCAATGTTAGCAAGATAAATTTGGTTACCAGGCTCTGGCCCAAGATTAGGTTTAGGAAGTATTTCCAGGAATAGCTGAGATACCCTTATGCTCTTGGTTTAATTGGAACCTTCATCCTGCTGCACTTGTCAAGTTAATACACCTGGAGTGAGTGTCCACACACAGCTGCAGATTTGGAGGCCAAGCCAGAGATGCCTGGAGGCTCCTGGAATGCCTGGAGCCACACTCAATGTGGGAACAATAATGAGTGACACCTGTCCTGTCAATATCCTGATTAATTAAAGATCAGCAAAAGTAGCTAAGGCAAAACCCCCACCAATTGTCACATATATACACTGTAGCTTGAACCCATCCATCTGTTAATTGTACATAAAGTGAGCTTGAGAGTTTGGATTTGAAGTTATCAGCGCTTCCTTAGTGTCTGAGAATAGATGGCAGGAAGCTTGGATTTTTCCCCTAGGGCAGGCCTGAGCTTAAATCCACTACTTGTTAATCATGTGAATCACAGGCAAGTTACTTAACTTCTCTGTTGCATCAGTCTGTTTTTTCTGTGAAAGGGAGATAAAAAAAATAGTTGCAGTACCTACCTCACAGATTGTTGGGACCAAAGGAGACTGTGCACATGGAATGCTTGATGCAGAGAAAGTATTCAATGAATAAACTGTTGGTTGTCTCTTTTTGCCCTACACCCACTACTCCTCTTAGAATGAAATGCTAGGGGAAATGATCAGGGCTCTTTCTCGAACAATAGGTGAATAGTTTATAAAGTTGGCAAGTGCTCTGATCAGCCCAGGAATCAGGAGCAGGGTGTCCTGGGGAAACTGGTAAGAAGGTGAGCATGCCATCTAGCTCCAGGTAACCAGCAGGCTGAATGGCCCAAGCAGCTGGCTGGGTCTTCAAGCCCCAACTGACCAGCAAAGAGCCATACAACAGTTAGTGATCATCTTTTATTTACACAAATACATCTCCGGGTGAATTCAGCAGTGTATGACCCCCTTCAGCTCAATTCAATCCTCCTGTTCCCACCCTCTTCTGGGAATCTTCTGAGAGCAGGTTCTCTTCTAGAACTCAGACACCATCACATAGGTGTCCATCCCAGTTAGAACCTCCTGTCAGTAAGTCAAGCAGACACCCTTCCAGTTCCATGACTCCTTCTGTTTGGGAAGGAGGAACACAGTCATTAATACACTATCCCTCAAGTAGGGCCTCCAGGAAATTGAATTAGAGAAGAACAAGGAAAAAATAATGGAGTGGAAGAAGAAGGTAGTAGTGATGGTATCATTGCAGGCAACTAGCCTTCACTGGGCTCCCGACCTAGTGAAGGAATCAAGGGTACCTGGTTAGAAGGATAGGCCCACAGTGTTGATGCTGAATCCAAAGGTCAATGAGACAGAGGCATTTTTCCTGGACAACTACCCAGAAATTTGCTCAGTGCCTGGGTTGGTGGGATCAGAGGACTGGCAGACTCTACAGGTTTTGAGGATCAAAAGGTAGGTTTCCTTGAACTTCCTTATTTTGCAAGCATAGATGACAGGGTTCATCATGGAGTTTGCATGGGACAGCAGGATGCTCAGGAGCATCACATACTCTGGCACCTCAATGTTAAAGTACAAAACACAGTTGATGAAGGACAAAGGCAGCCAGCACAGAGCGAACCAGAAGAGAACCAGAAACAGGGACCTGGCTGTCTTGAACTCCCGCCCATAATACAAACTTGTCTCTTTGGAGCCAGAAAAGCTCTGATTGAGTTTGTTCCGGATGACATAGAAGATGTCCATATAGATGGTGCACATGATTATCAGAGGGATGAAGATCCAGGTGAAGAAGCTGAAGAAGACCATGTACTCCATGCTCATGACAGAACGGAAACAGCATGGATGCAAGGTGTCATTTTGGGGGTACCTTGAGGTTTGCTTCCCATTCCAGCCAAGCATGGGGGTCAATCCCACCAGGAAGGACACCAGCCAGCAAAGACCCAGAGCCAGCCATATTCTTCTTTGAGTGGTGACCCTCCTGTATCTGTTCGAATGGAAAAGAACCAGTGAATTCACAGCAGGAATTATGGAGATAGGGGAGGAGGTGAGGGTGGGGGGACCCAGCACACACCCTCTCGATTCCTCAATCTTCTGTTAAAAGAGGAGAGCTCTGATAGTCTATGGTGATTCTAAGACAAGACGAGCAGACACTGATTAGAGAACAATTCAGCAGGACTTCTCTAAAGAACAACAATTTAGAATGGGTCAGGGATATGCTGTCTAGAGTCTGGTGTCTGCACACTCCAGTCACGGCTCCATTTGCAGCTCAGGAATTCTTCAATGCCTAGCGTGTAAGATGTATCGAAGTCTCCAGGGATCACCTACCTGGCTATTGTGCAGAGGCTCATAAATTACACTACGCCTCTCCCTCCCTTCCCTCTCCCCGAATCTGCCCCTGTATGTCTATCTGCAGAGTCGTCCATACCAGGCTCTCTCCCCAAGAGAAAAGAATCACAGACAAGGCGATTAGGACACATGGGGAATTCAATGTCTCCACTTGGCTGTCTATTCTCCTCACGTAGTCACATGTTCTTTGCACAAAGGAGAACTTTTTTAGGGGAGGGACAAAAGCTCTCGTACCTCCCAAAAAGAAGAAAAAGAAAATATACATTCTACGAACCCCTTTCTCAACATTGTGGCAGGCATAGAATAGTCGCCATGGTCATGTCAAAGTGCTTTAGAGCCCTTACCAGACTATCCAGGGAGTCCCCGTTTCCCCCTTGAAATGTCCCTCTTGGCAGCAATCTACACAGACTGCAAGAGGGACACTAATATTGTTAAGTGCTCTCTACTCAGTAGACTTCAATTAACACTCACAACCAACTGGAGATATGTTTATGATAATCTCCATTTCATGGATGGCAATGGTGAAAAGAATAGTAATTGTAGCTACCATTTATTGAGCACAGTCTATGGAACAGGAATTTTCTAAGGACTTCGCATGTGTTACCACATTGAATCTGATGAGGAAGGTGCAATTATTATTCTCATTTTATAGGTGAAAAAAATAAATAAAAGAAATCACAGACAAGTAACATAAGCAAGCTGGAAATGGTGGACTTGTGATTGAAAGGAGATGAGTCTGGCTCAGAGCATCTTAATCAGAGCATCATCTTATGACACAGACGAGGAAACGGAAATTGAGAAAGTTAAATAACATGCCCAAGGTCAGATTGCAAGGTCAGAGATTTGAACCCAGACTTGTTTACCTACAAAGCTTTGCAAGCTCCCTCACCAGGCTCTCCCCCCAAGACCAATGCAATTAGGACACGTGGGGAATTCAATTTCTCCACTTAGCAGTGTGTTCTCCTCACAGAGTCGCATGTTCTTTGTACAAAGAAGAACTTTTTTTGGAGGGGGAAAGCTCTCGTACCTCCCAAGAAGAAGAAAAAGACAATATACATTCTAAGAACCCCTTTCTCAACATCATGGCAGGCAGAGAATAGGAAGCAAAGTTAAAATACTAGCCTACGTTTGCAAAGCAACACAACCTTCTGTTTGTCTTCCTCTTATTCCAATTATTCCAATTTCTCCTAAAACATCTTTGCTGTAGGTTTTACTCATTTCTAAAACTCAACAGCATTTTCTATTAAAGATGCATCAAACTTTTTTTTTTTAGCTCCTCTGGGGACTGAACACAACCCAGGGTCAGTGGAGAAGGGCTTAGAGCATTCCTCTGAAAACATTCCTGTTTCTCAATGATAAGTCTCAGCTCATCATTGCTAAAATCTCACAAACTCTCACCATATAGTGAGAAGACATTTGTTGTCTTCTATCAACGTCAAAGGCTAATTTGAATTCATTTTCACTGGAAAAGCCTGCAATCTGAACTTTGTAGCCCCTTGACCAAGATGAGGAAACAGAAATTGAGAAAGTTAAATAACATGCTCAAGGTCAGATGGCAAGGTCAGAGATTTGAACCCAGACCCCTGCAGCATCCCATCCCTCTTCAAGCAGGTTACCTGACAGTGAGCTTGACCCGCAGGTATCGGTCCACAGCAATGGCCAGCAAGGACATGATAGAGGCATGGGTGAAGATCAGCAGCACGCAGGACATGAAAAGACAGCTGTAGAAGTGCATTGGGATGTCCAGGCTGATGACAATGGCGAAAGGTATGACCACCACCCCAACTGCAATGTCAGCCAGGGCTAGGGAGACAATGAAAAAAAAGGTGGTGGTCCTCAGACTGGGGTTCAGCTTGACCACCCAGATGACCAGTATATTGCCCACCATGGCAGAGAGTCCAATAAAAACCTCCAAGGCGATGTAAGGAATTCTGACCCATGGCAGGGTAGTGCTGTTGTCAGACATCATCCGATCCCAGAGGAACCTCCCAGGTGACCCGTGGGCCAGCAGGATTCGTATCTAGCAGGATTCGCAGCCAGTGAACCTAGCTCTTGCCAGACATCTTCCTGGAAGTCTACAGGCAGCAAGTCTGAAACTCAAAACTCACTCACTGCTTCTCTTCCGCGGTGGGGCAATCTCTTGGAGACCCTCTCCTTAGACAGAACCCATCACAGGATGACCGGTTCCAAGCCCCTTTGTGGGCCACACATCCCTGATCTCCCAGAAACCCGGAGGACAGTTCATTGTGTACTGAATCCGAAAGTGTTGCTGTTCTTAGTTCCTGAGACAGGACACACTCAAGGCCTGTGCCTTCTTCTGCCGCCACCCCCTCCCTGGGCTTTTCAAGCCCCATCAAGATAAGCAACCCTCTTCAGGGTGTTTCAGGAAGTGAGATAGGCCAAGAGGAAGTACAGAGCCAGGGACTCTAAGCAAAAAGATGGAATGAACAGTAGAAGGTGGCGTGAGTAGCACAGAAGAGGCTCAAGATGAGATTACATTTCAGAATCCATTCATTCAGGCACTGGATGAGAGTGGGTGGGTGGAGGAGGAGCTGGAAACACTGACTACATGATACCCTTGCTTTCCGCTTTCCTCGAAGAAAGATCCCGTGATAAAGACACACACACAGGGGAAGCAGAGGAATAAGAATTAGATTTTGGTAACAGCCCCCTAACCTTAGCCAGAACTTATTCCTTCTTGGTGCATACTAGCAAGCACCGAGAATTCAGCTGCAAGTGTAGACTCGTTGCTGAGCACAGCTGGTACCCAGCCTTTGCATCAAGGATCCTTTGTCAAAGGGACCAGCAAAGAATCCCCGCTCAGGAGAGCAAAAGCTCAGCATGTCCAGGGAGCTTCACTGCAGAGCCTCCATCTCGCCTTTGCAGTTTACACCCCCAGAAAAGTCTCAGATGTCTTCTCACTTGCACTGGCCTGTGTCAGACCTATTTGAGGAACAGCCAGACAAGAGGACCACCAGTTGTGCAGAAAAAAGAGGAAAGGTAAGGTGTGTACATAATCAGCTGGCAAATTTTTCCACTCTTGCTCCCCGAGCCCAAATAGGAACAGGCTTCTATCCAGGAACCAAACCCCCTTTCTCTAAAGCTGATCACCTGGTCCCCAGCTTCTGGAAACCAAATGCTTGGATGCAATTGTTATTTGGTCCAGGTGCTTTTCAGAGCTGCCCCACAGAAGTCATTTCAACCAGGCAAGTTAGAGAGACAGCAAGAAGGAACACTTGGACCTAAGCTCACAGAAGTGGGATGAAGAGTTCGTAATTTTCACCTTAGGCACCTATATATGTTTTCCAGTCAACATTTTTCAATGAGGCATTTGAGTAAGAGCCTGTCAGGCTCCTCTTCTTCAGCTCTTCTGCACAATCCACTGATCCTCCTTCAACGTCCCAAGTTGGTCCCAGCTGACCCATCTCGTGCTCACCCATCCCAGATGTGTCATTTCTCCTTGAACAAACTCCTCAGATATTCATGGGAAGTCCTCTCCAGCCATATTTCCAATGTTTGCTGTGCCCACACCCCTGTACTGAGGGGGGGCCTTGCAAAAATTCACCAGCCTCCCATGTGGTCTCTCATTCATGATTCTACCTCAACTGCTTTCTTTTTCTCTGCGTCAGAAGAGGAAGTTACTGAAAGAAATTTCTACCCTGTTGCATGATAAAAGCCTTTCTTACCATAAAGTACTCTGAATCTTGGTCAATCACAGTTAGAAAAAACAAACAGTTCCCTAACACCCCCTCACCCCCAGCTATCTAGTGGTACCAAATAACCTTATAAGAGACAAAGATCTTCCTATGTAGGGATGAGTGGTGTTGCTTGGTTGTTGGTGACTGTGCAGGTAATGGGTGGTTTCCTGAAGGGAGCTGGCTTCCTGGGGCCTGCCTCAGCACAGTCCAACCTGTGAGGCTGAGTATGGATGGACCCTGGCCTGGTGGCAAGACGGGAGCAGAGACTTTGCTGGCGAAGGGGTGTTGCTTATGCAATGGGCAACTCCTACATCTAGCAAGAAGAAAAACTGATGGCTGGTGTGTAGTCATGGTGAAGAAGGTGGAGTGGGGCAAAGGTGGTCAAGGTCAGGAACAGTGCACGAGCAACTGCTCAGCCCTTGGAAGTGGACTGGTGGACTGGCATTATCAGGAACGTGTCTGGTACGTGGATCTGGAAACCTGGTCAGTCTGTGCTTTCACATTCTTTCCCCTTTTGTTCTCCTTCATTACCTGGGGAGGTTCTTTTGGAACCAGCCCATCTCTGCTGGGGTAGAAAAACCAGGGAAGGGGGTATGTGTCCAAGACTAGTCACCCAGGAGCGAATAACCCACTGGAAGAGGAAGGGCAGGAGACGTACTTGGGGCCACCAACCTAGCCACTTCTTCCCACCTGGGAATTCTGCCCCAACACCTGTGCACCTACCTCAGGGGCTTTTCTGTGAACAAGGCAGGGCCTTCCTTGGTGTTTTCTGAAGAGACACGGGGGTAATTTGAGGGGTGAGGGTCAAGGTTCTACCAGTCACTTTCCATTTCAGCCCATGAATGGGCCCTGAGCGTCCTGTTCACTCTAGATTAAAAATGGAAGGGCTAGCTGGGAGAGAGAACAGACAGGAACCAGGGCACTGGTTGCTTCCTTTACCTGTTCCTCCACCTGCACTCACAGCCCACCCCCAGGCTTGGTTAAGTGTTAACTTCACTGCATCTTCTCTCCCTTATTGGCCTTGGTCCTGAGGTGACCAGAATGATACTGCTGAAACCGCTCCCACCCATCGCCAGTCCCCAAATTAAAAGCCACTTTATCTCCATAGTGCCTCCATATTGCCATTCAAGTCCACGTTCCTTGGGTATAGAACAGCTTTCAGTAGAAGCCCTTCCACAATGGGATCTCACAGTCTCTGCAGGCTCCTGTCACCTGCTTCTCCCCTAGAAACCATACACTCCACCACACCAGGGAACCTGTGACTGGGTCATTCTCTTTCACTTCTTCTCCCCTGTACACACCCTCTCTTGGCCTGGCCAGAAGGCCGGTCCCCTGGAGTCTGCCTAGAAAATAAACTGGCCGTGGGTATATAAGGAGAATCATAGAACAGCTAGGACCTGTCAGGTCCTCTCTGTGAAGTCAGGCACCATATTAAACATTTTCTAATTCACAGTCTCATTCAACGTTCTCTGGTGGAAAAGACATTGTCATTACTGCCAAATAAGAGGAGGCTCAGAAGGGTTAAATCACTTGTCCCAGGAGCACAGCTAAGGAAGTGGCAAAGCTGGCATTCAAACCCAAGCTGGTGGCTTCAGAGCCTAGGTTCTGAAGGATAGCCTTTCCGAAGTGGGGGAACACACGAACAAACATAGGCAGGAGCTTTCAGAAGTACAAGGAGCCCCTGGTTTTGATGTTGCTCTATTACCAACATCAGATCAATATCCTCAGATCTGGAAAAGAGAGTGACCCCGACAATTATGGGCACAAAACAAAAGCGTAAGATGTTTGGCAACTGCTCAGAGTTAAAAAGAGATGGCAGAACCAGAGACGATTGCACAATCAAGCTGCTGGTGAGGCTGGGCCTCAAGGGGAGTTCTGGGCCAGAAAGAAAACCATTTATGGGATAAAAGTGCAAAACAATAATTTTTTTTTAATATAGAGCAATAGAGTATAAGTGAAGTGTGATCCAGGAGATTTCCCCACCTAAAAGGAGAGCCATGCCAGTTTTTAGCTCTACTGGAAGAACTCAGCTCCAGGGTTTGCAAATAGCTTCTACTTGAACTCAGAGAATTAACAGCTCTGAAAAATGTTCATTTTAACTTGCATTTTAGTATCTTTTTTGTTTGGGAGGATCTTTTAAAATTTGCCTGTGTGGAGAGGATTTGTTAAGTTAAAACCAGGCATTTTTATTTAAGAAGGTGCACTGAATTGCAATACACACAAAGCACATGAACGGGTGAAAACAACTGAGCTGCTGGGGTTGCTCTCAGGACACCCTGGGTATCCTAACTACCTCATATCAGACCATGTGGGGGCGCCAGAGTCAGTCAATATTGTGAATATTCATGAGCTTAATTTCTTTCCTACATGTGTGTGTGTGTGTGTGTATGTATGTG